TGGAGCAGATTCTCCTGGAAGGCATGCTAAGGCACATGAAAAACAACAAGGTGCTTGGTGACAGCCAGCGTGGCTTCACTAAAGGGAAATCCTGCCTGACCAATTTGGTGGCCTTCTATGATGGGGCGACGGAACTGATGGACAGGGGTAGAGCAGTTGATGTCATCTACCTGGACTAGTGTAAGGCGTCTGACACTGTCCCACACAACATCCTTGTCTCTAAATTGGAGAGACATCAATTTGATGGGTGGACCACTCGGTGGATAAAGAACTGGCTGGATGGCCGCACACAGAGAGTTGTGGTCAATGGCTCAGTGTCCAGCTGGAGACCAGTAACGAGTGGTGTCCCTCAGAGATCGGTGTTGGGACCGATCTTGTTCAACATCTTTGTCGGTGACATGGACAGTGGGATTGAGTGCGCCCTCAGCAAGTTTGCGGATAACGCCAAGCTGTGTGATTCGGTTGATACGCTGGAGGGAAGGAATGCCATCCAGAGGGACCTTGACACTCTTGTGAGGTGGGCTGATGCCAACCTTATGAAGTTTAACCAAGACAAGTGCAAGTTCCTGCACCTGGGTCAGAGCAATCCCAGGCACAGCTACAGGTTGGGCAGAGAAGAGATTCAGAGCAGCCCTGCGGAGGAGGACTTGGGGGTGTTGGTTGATGAGAAAATGAACATGAGCCGGCTTCAGTGTGCTCTTGCAGCCCAGAAAGCCAACCGTATCCTGGGCTGCATCAAAAGGAGCGTGACCAGCAGGTCGAAGGAGGTGATCCTGCCCCTCTACTCTGCTCTCGTGAGACCTCACCGGGAGTATTGTGTGCAGTTCTGGTGTCCTCAACATAAAAAGGACATGGAACTGTTGGAACAAGTCCAGAGAAGGGCCACGAGGTTGATCAGGGAACTGGAGCACCTCCCATATGAAGACAGGCTGAGGAAGTTGGGGCTGTTCAGCCTGGAGAAGAGAAGGCTGTGTGGAGACCTCATGGCAGCCTTCCAATATCTGAAGGGGGCCTGCAGGGATGCTGGGGAGGGACTCTTCATTAGGGACTGTAGTGATAGGACAAGGGGTAATGAGTTAAAACTTAAACAGGGGAAGTTTAGACTAGGTATAAGGAAGAAATTCTTTCCTGTTAGGGTGGTGAGGCACTGAAATGGGTTGCCCAGGGATGTTGTGAATGCTTCATCCCTGGTGGTGTTCAAGGCCAGGTTGGACAAAGCCTTGGGTGATATGGTTTAGTGGGAGGTGTCCCTGCCCAGGCAGGGGGGTTGGAACTTGATGATCTTAATGTCCCTTCCAACCCTAACTTTTCTGTGATTCTATGATTCTATGTAAATTACAGGTCACTGTTATTTCTGGAGCTAAAATGTGAGCAGAAGCTTTTCCTAAAGCCTTAGGATTTTGAGTGGGCTAAAAAGGAATTCGAATCTAGTTTCTACTTCACAAAAGTCTATGAATGCTGTATTCTCTTGCTTTCTGTTTGCCGTATGGTGTAAATCGTTTGGCATATGCCAGCTGTATTCCAGAGAAAAGACGTACAAATGTGTAAAGGTACTGTGCCTGCAGACTTCCTGTATGTGCACAGGTATAGCTGGTTAACCTTAAATAACAGTGTACACAATTTCTAGGATCACACTCTTGATTCCACTGAGAAATTAAGAAAGGTTGTTAATGGTTTTTACTTTACATGTTGAACAGTTGAATTTTACAAAGTTTTATTTAAACATTTATTGTGTCAGTGTGAAGGAAACCAGCTTTGTCACGTGCCTGAGCACAGATGCACACACACACACACGCACAGAGTAAGCCTGACTTCTTCCAGGAAATGAAAAAAAAGGTTGTTTGAATACTTTTGTTAATTATGTTTCTAACCCAGGCATCCCAATACTGTACATGTGCCGAGCTCATGTGGAGAGAAAGGAACGATACAGATAATTCTTAATAAAAATGCTGTCCCAGGAGGAACATGAAGCACACTGCTTAGAAATACAAAGCCAGAACTTCAAGTGTCCAGCTAAGCAGATTTTCTGAATGTATTCAAGGTGGTCTTATGGTAAGTGAAGGAAGCCTGTGAAGTTGCTTGGAGCTCTTTGAGAATGAAAAGTAAAACTCATTTACATTTCAGTGGATCGGTGGCAGAAATCAGAACAAAGTCCATTTTTCTGAAGAGGATCTGCGTGCATGCAGGCTACAGAGAGGTGAGACTAATGGCTCCTTTGTTGCCCAGCTTTGTGTTCTTTATTGGCAAACACAGCATCAGCTTTGGGAAATGGGGAGATGTGTATGGGGTGCAGTATGGAGCACAGAGAAGCGGAATATGAAAGCTGTGCATTTGTGTCCCAGGGAGGCAAGGCAGGGAATATGCAAGGGTATTCTATCCTTTCTACAGAGCATCCTCCCCTGCCATTTACTCTCAATACAGAAGTACTGGGAAAAGAGCAGAGGATATGGGAGTTGCTGAGTAGAGAAAAGGAGGATGTCTATGGAATGCTCAACACTGGCATCTTAGAGTAATGTTGGTTTTGACAGTCATGAATCCTGCGGTGTGCTGGGGCTACAATAGTCTGCATTCCTGCATGAAGCAGTATCTTTTGGACCAGGAGAGCTGTGACATTCAGCCTGGTCGTTTTCAGAGCTGGAAGCTGGCAGCTGGCTCTAGTGAAGGGAGGAAGGTAACTTCATCACCTCCCAGTTCCTGCCACCCCAAGAGCCTGCCTCTAAAGGCCTGAAATGACCTTCCATAGAACATCTATGAAAGACATACTTTTCCTCAGAGTGGAAGTGTTCTCCAAGACACCACCAGAGTGGTGGATTTAAACCAACTGGTTTTGCTTTCCAAGAGAAAAAAAAAAATGTATCTGGACTCTGGACTTTAGCAATACTTTTTCTCCCTGAGGAGCCTTTTAGGGTGGAAATGACTCTGTGGATCCTGTGTTAAAATAGTTAGTCTGTCACCAACCAGCTATCTAACTCATCATGAGAGTATCTGAGCAGTTCTTGGGTACAGTATTGCATCACAAAAGCTACTTCTGTCTGTCACATTCCTACAGCTCTTCACTGGCTCCAAGGAAAGGACTTTGTTAGTTTTAGTACTGTTTTAGGGTTGGCTTGAAGACTTGATAGAGGGAGAAGGTAAAATTGGTTCAGAGCCTCCAGTCACAGACTTTACAAAATTCTTGTATTTCCAGCATGAACATGGTGTTCCTGATCAGATTTATACTTCTAATGCTACAGCTGTTTTATTTCTAAGTCAAGATTGTGTTTTGGCACTGTAGGTGTCTAACTTCAACCCACTCTAGTAAAAGCTCAGGTGATCCAAATTCCTTTTTTTATAGCTGTGCATAGAGCTGCTTCTGATGACAGTGTTTTTGTGAGGGGAAAAATGAGGAATCAAGTTCTCACTGCTGTTTATGATTTCAGCCTCTTTTTGAGAAAAGGTTCAGTGCACCCACATTTAAATGTAACTTAAGGGTCTTCTTCCTTCCTATTTTTGAAGCTTACTGTTCACGTATTTTGATGGAAGGCGGACGTTAATAGCGCAGAACAGTGTGGTTGTTATCTATTATACCATGATATATTTACTGAGAAAATTTTAATAAATAAACCACAGGCTTGAACCCCTGAACCCTTCCAAACCAGCCAATTCCCATGGGGGGTTCAGGGGTTTTTTATGGATGGATACTGTGTTCTCATGAGAATTTTATTAGAGCTCATAGACTTGAAACTGACTAGCAAGAGAATTTATGAGGTTACATGGGAACTATCACATCTTTCGTTCCAACACTCTGTGAGTTTATAAAATGAACCCTTCCTTAAACTGTGTTATTAAATAGAAGAGTTTTAATGCAACTTTAATGAAGTATCTAATGTCATCAATATTTCTCATTGGTCAGCGCAGCTGGTTAATTTTACCAGCTTTTCAGTTTCCAATTATCCTGGGTTAGAGTGTTGGGTAAAGGGGTTTTGCTAAAAATTGAAAAAAAGGCGGGGGGGGGGGGGGCATAAGTTCATAAATGCATCAAAGAACGCTTGTCAAGATGGATAATAGGAAGGGTAAACAGTGTCTGCTGTGTATTTGCTTAGCCTCTATTCTGTTTACTCTCCTGAATACTCTCTAAAATTCCTCTTGCTGTTCTGTTTAAATTTAGAACAATGTTGAAGTTCTGTAGCTGCTCATTATCCCACTTGAAATTTAACTTAAAATGTTATTTTGCATCATGTAGTTCAGCTGGAAAGCTGCCCAAGACAAGAATTGAGGTCTGTGGTAGTGAACTACAGAGGAAGTGGTCTAAGCAAGACTCCCTTCTGGGGATATTCCAACGTTTTATTACATTGTGTGTACTAATGAGTAGAGCAAAGGACTGAGAGCCAGGAAGGGCAGTTTTAATCAAATGACTCATGATATTACCTTCAGCAAAATACGTGACCTTGTAAATCAGCCATCTTAGCTGTAACAGTGGGTAAAAATAGGGGCTCAGTGTAGCATTAAGGCAGAGATACAGATGTGCCTGCTTCAGCTGCATTCATGGTCTGCATTTTTTGTTCCTCTGCTTTGGAAGAGACATCATGGGAAGACAGAAGATCTTCTTTCAGCTACTGCAGAGAAGCTCAAATCAATGTTGATGTGTATTCTTCCTTGAACAAGAGCTTTTAAAATTGTCAGGTGGAGGCCAGTCCTTTGCTCAGTCTGACTTACCTGTGAGTGATCAAGTTTGTTGGTCAGGGTGGTGATCAGGGACACCAGGCACAAGGAGGATGAAGAGACATGTTTTGAAAGGTGGGTTCAAATTGGATGTGATGCTGGTGCAGTTTGTCCAACCAATTGGAGCTGGGAGACTAGCAGGACTACACAGTTTGGAACACTGGAGGCCAAAGGATGTTCTTTAATTGGTACATGAAGTGCATTGGGTTTCCAAATGACCCTGGAAACGCTGTCTTGGCCATCACCCCAACAAACTGTGGCTGTTTAAGATGTCATAGGCCTTTTTTTCAATCAAAGGTAGAGCTTTGGTACTTGGCTAGCCTGATGTATTTAAGAGCAGCCTGCTGCTGCTGCTGCTTCCTACAGCTCCAGCTACCTGTGTTAGTCCTTTTGGCTATCTCACATCACAACCCCAGAACTCCACCTGCGGAGCTTCAGGCTCTCAGCAGTGTGTGAAAGCATTCACCTGTCCCCAGGATTCTTTTGGATGGAAGGTGCCTTACAGAAGTATCAAGAGCTACATATCCCGTTTCTTTATATTTTGGGCCCTAAAAAAGGAACAGGACTGACTCACTTTACCAAATTTGGAACCATCCCTCTTAATTCAGTCCCATGTTACACATCTGCCTGACTGTTCTTCATAAATGAGACAGAGAAAACCCGGTGAGGTTTGACTGCTACCTGATCAGCTTTCACACCTTAAAGCCCTGTTGTGGTGGCCCTGTGTGACACAGGGAGTCAAAATATCCTTGGTTCTTAGTCTATGGACTTAGCAGAACTGCATTTTGATGATGATCGTTCAAGCATAGGGAAAGCATAATAAATTCATCTCGTGTCTCTAATCTTTGCTATCTCAGGACAGGAAGGAATGGGCACATAAGATACTGTACTGCCTTTGGTAAATCAATTGATCTGTGTATTTTTAGATGTTTATGCAGAACAGGTTGACTAAGCCTCTTGTGCTTCAGAGACATAGTATCCCTGAACTAACATTCACTGATCCTGTGAAGATTAAAATAGGAGGAAATAGCATACAAACAGGACTACAAATCATTGAAGTTATTTAGTAAGAGAAAAGCATTAAATTGGCTCAAAACCAGTCTGGAAAGGCACTTTGTTGAGCTTACCAAAGTAACCACATAGCCAGAAACAATTTCTGGCCTCATTTTTTCTGTTTTATGTACTTGTATGAATTTATTTTTCTTCTGTTTGACATTTCCTATTCACTGGCTTATTTTCTGTTTCTGTTTAGGTTCATGTGAGCACAGCAGTTTGGGGTTGGATCATTATTCCTCAAGTTCTGCAGCAGTTAAGAAGAAAATGTAGAAACAATTTAAATTTCCATGACATTAGAAGAGAAAAAGCTTTGAAGGTACAGGGAACTTAAGAACTCAACTCCTGGCGCTTTTAGTGGAAGTTGCATGTTTTTGAACATCTCCATAATAAATAACTGCCATGTGAGTGATTTTTCATTTCCTTTAAGATTTGCATCATACACTGCTTGGTTCTAATATTGCATAAAATTGTCTTAACATAAACAAGGAACCAATCAATGTAAGTCCCAATATTTTTCTCACCAAAACATGTTCCTATACAACAAATACAAATGTAGTCAGTGGATGGAATGTGCATTACAGAAGTATCAAGAAGAGCTACATATCCTGTGTCTTTGTGGTACAATGTGGTACAATTTGTGGTACGGTGTCAGGCCTCTAATGGACTAATGGGAACATCCTGGTTTTCTTGTATTCTATAACAAGAACTTCATAATTTGTCTCTTTTTATCAGCATAACATAAACAAAGAGATTCATTTTGTATCTCTGAATGACCATCAGGTTCTCATTGGAATACATTGCAAACAGTGCCATAAACTGTCAGCAGTGGGTGAACAACAATTTTCATGGGTATATTTGCTGCCTTTGGCAAGTAAAAAATTGTTTCCCTCGTAACAGATCATCATATTGCTGGTTATCTGTATCCTCTTCCTGCCAGCCAGTGCCCTAGCAGAGGTGATGGCTGCTGAGCCATGAGTTTAAGAGAACTGCCCTGCTTTGTGCTCTGAGTGATTATTTCAGAATTTGTGTTTCCACAAACATCTGGCCTCTGAAGTGTGTTTGCTGACACAGAGACACGCATTTATCACCCTGATTACTTAGGTTATTGTCCTGCCTTGCTGCCTGTTGGCCAGCCCAGACTCTGCCAGCTTCTTAGGCTTCTTCAGCCAGTGTTACAAAACACAAAGCTTGGCAACAATTATTTAGTAGAGTTAGTTTTAAATGTCGGAAAATAGATTCTATTGCTTTGATCTGTCCAGGAATTCTGGCTGCAATTTGTGCTTTAAAGTGTGCTTTGCTGTTTTAGGTATTTTCTAGTAATAAATTATTTGAACTTTGCCCTATCTGTAAGTGATGAATCTCTGCCCTAATCTAAGATTCTGGTGCCCTGTTCATCTACCCTGTTCTTCTGCTATCAAGAAAAGCACTGGGTGTTTCCTATCCATCCATAGAGAAGAAAAAACCTGAGGACCCTTCTCATTAGCAAAGTACAAGCTGAGACAAGGGATGATCCTTGCAATGTAGAAAACTTCAAATAAAAAAGGAAAATTTGAGGAACATGTGAAAGTATGTTTTCTAATAATGTGTTTTTCAATTGGAGTTTGGTTTAAAAGAAGGGGAGACGGAACCTCCTGGTTTTGAACTAATTGATGTTGTGGAATAGCATAGAAATGATTTGGAAATACTAATCATCCATTTTCCTTCACAGCCAAAGAAGGAAGACCCAAGGGAACTGTTGAGTACCTAATTGTGTAAAAGTACAGGAGCGCAACTCAAACATGCTTTTTCCATTTTCATTTAATTGTGGATTATAGTTTAAACTTGTTTCCATAGTTTGCAAAACAGTAGAGAAGTTCGAACTCTAGGTCATGACAGAAATACATGTGGATATTTGCAGAAAGTGTCCTCATTGCGTGCTGCTCCAGAGTGTCATTTACATTTTTAAATTCCCCATCCTTAGGATAATTCTTTGTAGAAAGTCCATTTTATCAAATAAAGTTTATAAAATGTTCATTAGATACGTTTAAAAATATCGTGTGAGAAAACCTGTTTCTATTGGCACTGCCATTTTATTCATCTGTCTTTTCAGACATGTTTTTGTTGGCATTTTCATCTATGTTTGGCCTCATTTTAATGAACTTTTAACTACAAAATAATGGTTATCTGGGACACAGGAATCAAAAGTAGTTAAAGTTCCTCAGAGCTAAGAAGAATAGACAGAAGTACTGCTCAGCATTTTATGCAGTAAACTGTGGAAAAATGAGCTATAATTATCCCCTGTTAAAACCAGCAAAATAAGAAATATGCCAGTTTAGATTTGAAGTTGGCAGCAGTTCAAAAGGTTGAGAGAATGAGAAATTGTGGAAGTTCACCACTGTATTTTCCCTTCATGTCTCTTCTACATGAGTTTCTTGGGCTGTGTGCAGATGGTCGAAATTGATTTGCTCTAGGAGCTCCATCTTCCATCCCTTCATCATTAATAGTGGTAGCATATTGTTATTCTAGACACCAGGCAAGACGCCTTTAAGCCTAACTTAGTAGTTACATACAGTTCAAAAAGGTAGGAGGAACAAGGAAGCATTAGCATCGTCATTTTACAGATAGGGAATTAAAATAAAAGGGTGGCGAGTGTATGGCTCATCTCACTGACCTAAGCCACATGCAGGTTAGATATTTAATACTAAACGAGATGTTTAAGCTCCTTTCTCAGTGGGAGACAGCCCTCAGTGATTTATCGCATCTGTCTTAAAACCCTATATTAGAGTGGGTAGAATGGGTTATACTTTGGTAATGCTTTTGCTCTGTCTCTCCACTGAATATAAGGGAAGCCAAAAGTGAAAATTTCTCTGGCCAATTCCTCCACTGGTAATAATGATCAAGACTAGCATAACCAGATCTTCATGAACCAGTCTTGGTCAGTCTCAGAAGTAGATTGGCCAACCTCTGCTTACAAAGTTTTCCTAAACCTTCAGTAATGGCTGATGGTTTGTACTCTTCCTGGAGGTCAGCAACTAGTGGGGTACCACAGGGGCCTGTCCTGGGACCTGTGCTTATTCCCCTTGACTTTGTACTCATTAGACCTCATGTAGCTAAGGATATCCAGTTTTGCCCCCAGACCTCCACTTGAAGCACACAGATAAATTAGAGCACGTTCAGTGAAAGTTGCCAAAATGGTCAGGGCTGGAGTCCATAACCTAGGAGGAGAGGCTGAGGGAGCTGGGCTTGTTCAATCTGCACAAGAGATGGCTTCAGAGGGACCTAACAGCAGTCCCTAGTGCCTACAGTGAGGATGTCAAGGAGATGGAGCTGGGCTCTTCACAGTGGTGCCTGGTGGATAGGAGGATGAAAAAAATGTCGTAAGTTGAAACAGGAGATGTTCACACTGAGTGTCAGAAGAAACCTTTTCCCCATGAGAGCCCAGCAGTGGAACAGATTGGCCAGATAGGTTGTTCAGTTTCAATCCTTGGAGATTTTCAAGAACCACCTGAGCAACCTGGTCTGACCCCATAGCTGGACCCTGCTTTGAGAAGGTTGGGCTAGAGGCCTCCTGGGGTCCCTTCCAACCTGAACAAATCTGTGATGCCTAGCTGACCATGCACTCTTGTCTTTCATGTACTTTCTTCTCATCAAGGCCAGTAATGTCAGATGTCATGAGGAAAGGAGCGGAGAAAAAAACTGAACACAACATTACGTTTCTCTCCTAATCTACGTTGTCCCTGGGTTACTGAATGCTCTGCTTAGTTCCACTTGCCACACCACAAAATAGATGTAGAAGAACCAGGAAACATACAGAAAAGAGCACTGTGAGGAAAGACTAAATAGACTAAGTTCTGCAACTTGAAGGGAAATGCTGGGTCTGGACACACTACAGGCCTAGGAATGATGATTATTAAAGAGATGTTAAAAAGGGAATGATAACTTACTGTTTCTTGGAATACAAGAAGTAGAGAGCACTCAACAAAATGATCAAACAGCAAGTTTAAAAACAAGCAAAACTTGTTCATGAGTATATTGTGAAAGATTTTGTAGAGGCTGAAAAGTACAAGTAGGTTCAAGAAGTGATTAGATGAGTTCATGGAAAATATGTCCATTGGTACACAGGGGTTTGGATGAAACTGTCACCTCAGGAACTTCCTAAATGGCTGTTTGCTGGAGATCAAGAGGACATGGTAGGAGGGAGTTCAGCCTATGTATGGCCTTGATTGTGCCCTTGTGCATCTGCTGTCCACTGCAGAGGAGAGTCCAGTGCTGGATGGAGATTAGTCTATCTGAAAATTCTCCATATTGCTTTACCAGCAGCAGCCATAGCCTGCACCTGCTCCTGGTGAGGGTGGATGAAATGGGCAGGTAAAGGAAGAGACACTGCAAGTTCTAAAGGAAAAGGAATCCATGTGAGAGAAAGGAATTGGGACACCACAACTGTTACTGACCCATGGCTGCTGGGTAGCTCCGGACTAGCAATAATTATTTTTTCTTTTTGTGCCACATTATCCCCCTCTATAAAATTCCTTTTCCAGTCTTCTGTGGGGATTATTAAAATTAAAATATTAGTAACTATGAAACACAGGAGGTGCCATCTGAACATAAGGAGACTTTTTCACTGTGAAGGTGACTGAGCACTGGCACAGATTGCCCAGAGAGGCTAGGGAGTCTTCATCCTTCAAAAGCCAGCTGGACATGCTCCTGGGAAAGCAGATCTAGGTCACCCTGCTTGAGCAGGCAGCTGGACCAGATAAACTCCAGAGGTCCCTTTGAACCTCAAAAACTCTGTGATTCTATGAAATAGCAGTATGAATAAATGTTAAATATAATTCAAATGTTAGAACTATTGATGTTAAACTATTGAGCCTACCTGGAGGTTCAACAATATGCCCAAGAAAGACAGGGAGCAGCTCTGTTTAAAGGGAATTTTTAGCCATGTTTTTTGACATGACCAAGATTGCCGTGGTCTATGTAAGCTACTATGAGGATTATTTGTCACAGTATTTAGGTGCTTCTTGAGGTACACAAGGGAAACATAGCTGACATCCACCAGTGTGTTCTTTAAAATGTCTCAGCCAGGCAGAATACTCCTAACCAAGTATATTAGATGACTAGATAGCCACCTTATCTTCAAAGACAATTGCCATATTTATACAACCCTATCTACCTCTCCAGCACACTGGGCATGCAGCTACTTTCACTATTTATGTATTGTCACCAACTTCCCTATTTGGAGCTTTGTTATGTTCAGCTTTGATGCATTTATTTGGGCAGATGCCCTTAGCTGAGCTCACAAATACAGCTGTAACCAGACAACATGAATTTTACCCCAGGGAGAAAACAGAAGTGTTTGGTGTGTCAGTAACAGGTCTCCAGCTGTGGACTCCTCTGTTTACACCTGACCCTGACTGCTGCTCTGTGCTTGTGCAGAGCA